TTAGGCGCTGCCTACTTCTTTTGCTTCTGGAATCTCAACTGGAGGCCAAAGGCCCCAGAGTCCAACAGACCTGGGTTCAAATCCTGATTCTGCAACTGAGTGGACTTTGAACAAGTAACTTAATTCCCTGTGCCTCAGGTTTTTCCATCTATAAAATAGAACTAATAATACCTTCTTCAAAGGGTTGGTGTGAGAAGTAAATGAAATAATGTACGTGAAGTGCCCTGGCAGCATGCGTAGGTGCGGTAATAAATGGTAACTATGATTATCCCCACCCCTGCTGCCTGATGGTAAACCAGGATCAGAGAGCAGATAGGTAAGAGCACAGAGGAGAAGGGAAGGCAAGGACCAAATTAGCCTTGTGATCAAAGATGTGCGGAATTCACCCGGATGCATTGAGAGAGCTGTTCCTTCGCTTCCCACTGCCCACACAGTCTCCTGGATCGTGCTGCCTGCAAGTGCAGGCCAGCCCGCAGCAGCCAAAACAAAGCTGTTTGGTCCCATCCACACAGGCCCTTGCTCAGGACCTGATATTCATCTGATAAACCAACGTGCACTGATGCTTTCATAGTGTTGCTGGCAGCTTACTGGGTTACCCTGCCGGTTAGGCTGTGTTTTAACCAGAGTCTTATGGACATACAAGGCCTCAACCTAGGCTGGGTGAAATTTCACCTTATCCCAGATCAGCAAAGAGCCAGGTGGAGCTGGAGAGGAGGAGCAGGGACAGGCGGGGGATGGGACAATATGAACAAGGGAGTGTTAAGGTCCGGGCTGCAGGAGGAAGCCAAAAGCCAGGAAGTCTGAGGCTGCAGGGATAAGCAGGCTTTCCATTCCATCCTTCTTGACTACAGAATGAGAACTACAGGATCAGAAAACTTGGGTTCTCTCCATCTAAGAGCGAAGACAGGTGTCCCTCTGGGAAGCGTCCTCAGGTAAGGGGCCTGGAGTTCCTGGGGAAGCACAGCAGAGGGAGACTGTTTGGGTTTGATATTTGGATTGTTAAATGATGCCCCAGGGCATCCACACAGGGAACAGTGGTCGACAAACCAGAAGGAGCAAACTGCTGATGCCCACAACCTGCACGGACCTCAGGGCATGGTACTGGAAGGAAAAGCCAGACTCAGAAGACTACAGGAAATTCTGGCCCCTGCAGGCGGGGGAGGGATCTTGTCTATATTGACAGGAAGCCTGGAGCCCAGGTGGGATTGACAGCAAAGGGCATGAGGGACCGTTTCTGGGTGATGAAAGTGTTCTGGATCTTGAGTGAGGTGGTGGTTACGAGGGCGGATGCCTTTGTCAGAACCCACTGAACTGTGCTCTTGGAATGGGTGCAATTCATTTTATGCAAATTATCCCTCAATAAAGTTGCTTTTAAAACAAAAAAAAAAATGTGATGCCTTAGTCACAGAGGCTGTTCTACTCCAGGAGCTCCCTGCAGGAGAAACTCAGTAGGCCGCACCCCCAACACTGCCCCAGCACATCAGTGTCTGTATGGTAACTTACTGCTAGCAAGAGCTTTCTCCTCTTCT